CAAAGATGATGGCGAGTACACCCAAGTGCAACAGTGTCTGTGGCTGTGCAAAGGAGAAGGTCACACAGTGTCTGTACATTGTACTGCTGCACTACAGTGGCAGAGGAATGATCTTCGACATAAAGGAGGTTGCGGACAGTTTGATGTGGCAAGAGAACAGCATATATAACACGTTCAATTCCATCGCAAACGAACAACTGAGGCGAGCCCAAGGACCTCGCAATTCCACCCGGAGTTATCCCGGCAGCATCATCCGGTTTAGCTTATGAAATGAATAAACTTTCCCCGTGTAATTTTTTTAAAAATTTTCTATGTAACCCTGAGGCAAAAGTTGTTCAGTTTATATTTTTGCATAAAATCGTTTTTCTTTGGGGGGGGGGGGGGGGGGGGGCAGGGTTTGCTGGGACCTTCCCTGGTGCTTGCTCGGCCAAGCCGCCTGGGAAAACAAGGTGACCCGGGCGTCCCGGCTGGTAGCCTAGATTCAAACATGAAACGTATATGACAGTGTTGTTTTCTTTCCCTATCTTGTGTGTTGACTTTAGTTTCACTTCAAAATTGAAAGCCCTTCCCTTCATAAACTTGCCGGATAATTTGTTGCTAACTCACCCCTTCTATGTCCTCATCTGACAAGTACTGTCCATACTGGCGGACACCATTTGCCTCCCCATCCATCTGAGATCACAAATCCAATAAGACAGGCAATATGACGAAATTAAAATAGGGCGAACAGCAACGAGTCAGCACAAAGTTAAAACAAGCGATTTGTGGCGTCATCAATCCGAGAACCAGAGTAGGAGGGGTGAAAAAGGCTCTCACAACCGAATGCATAATTCGCACCTTCTGAGGTGTTGCAGCACATGGCTCAGGATGCATTTTGGACTTTATCTTCGTCTCTTATGATTGAAACGAGCTTTGAGAGAGGTTCTTCTTTCTCTCTCCAGACGAAGGACCTCTCTCCTGGCAGAATAGAGTCAAGAAGTGTAGTGGGTAAGCAAACAAGTGGTGATAATACGCCATATGCCTTAGTACAGCCACCCGGGCACTCTTGTGATTGCAACAAGCTTTGAGGGATGATCTTCTTCTTTCTCTCTCCAGGCGGAATAGGGTCCAGAAGTGCAGTGGGTAAGCCAACAAATGAGAATACGCCATCCCGCCAAGTCCATCATCCAGTTGCTTACCTGGACTGAACCCTTTGCAAATAGGAGTTGAAACTGACTGAATTGATGTGCGGCCAAAATGGAATGGGATTTGATTAATCAAGCAAAGCTATCATTCATTGCTTGCTCTAGCTTAGTGAAAGTGCCGTTGGTTGAGGAGCGTATGTTTCCTTAGCCAATAGGAGTTGAAACTGACTGAACTGATTTGCGGAGAAAATGGAACGGGATTTGATTAATTACGCAAAGCTATCATTCACTGCTTGCTCCAGCTTAGTAAAGTGCGGATGGTTGAGGAGCGTATGTTTCCTTTCCTCCTTTTTACGCTTATGTTATCAATCACCAATAATCCTACTTCGTGTTCATGGACTCTCTCTCTCTCTCTCTCTC